CAGTGAAAAACATTTTGAAAAATTATTTGGGCCCAAGAAAAGTGAAAGGTTCCTAAATCAATCAACTTTTTTCGAAAAACAGCGTCGCGTTAACTTCTGTGAAACAATGCTTTTCGACTACCAGGATGTCATTAAATGTATTGTGTCTGATGATGAGTCTTAATTCTATGCTCACAACTCCGAAACAGACGAACAGTCGGCCGAGTGTCGTGGCAAAGCTTGGCCGAAGTTAAAAAAAACACGTCAAAGCAAGTCAAAATCAACAATATGTTTACAGTTTTTAACGATTATCGAGGTGTGGTGCACTCTGTATTCCTACCGATCAGCCAAACTGTCAGCAAGGAATACTATTTCAATATTATGCGTCGTTTGTGGGAAGCTTATTGTAAAAAGATGCCGGAAATATGGGTCGACAACCTTTGCACCGTTGCATACTGCATCGATTCTTCGTGAGTTTTTCCAATAATTTAGCTCCGTGTGACTTCTGGCAATGGGTATTACTTTGAGGGGAGCGACATAGATTTTAAAGAATAAATAAGGAATTTTGAAATTATGAACAAAGTCTTACGATTTTTGCTCAAAGTAGTACTTAAGTAGGTAGGCATACTTATACAGTAAAAAATGTTAATCAGAAAACGGCAGAGACCCAATAAAATATATGTACATAGTTATTATGTATAAGTATATCTGATCAACATGAGGGGCTAAATGAATTTAGCCATGCCCGTTAGAGCGGGTTGATTTTCAAGAAGCCAAAAAAAACGACAAATCGTTTATATGGGATATATTTAACGGATCATTCTGAACAATTTGTCTAAGAGACTATGGTTCTAAAATCGGTTTCGGGTCAGCGATTTTAAGGGTGAATTTTTTTAGGGATCATAAAAATATGTTTGTCAGTTTTTGAGATATCGGTTTATTCAGATCATTTTTAAACGTCGCCTTAAGAAATTAAAGCGGTTTTAGATCCTATAGCGAACTAGTCTTCAACTTTTAAGATATCTATTTAAATTATGCTCACGTTCATTATCTCCCAAAGAAGAACGATCGAAATCAAGTGCTTGTATAAAAATGAGATGAGATATCTTCAAGCAAAACGGCATGGATTATTGCCTAAGGCATTTATGTCATCGCCGCAGAAATTGTTATAATCGGACCACTATTGTATAAAGCTCTCTTACAAACGGTTCGATCGAAATCAAATGCTTGTATGATTTTTTTTTCAGGGTATTCATATGTGCATGCCCCCGAAGTTAACGTTTTTACTTGTTTTGCTTCGAAATGCTATTTTAAAATTATATATTGCAGCATATTTTTCCCCAGCAAGCTTTTGCATATTTATTTCATTGAAATTTTTTCATTTATATTTGGGAATTATATTGCTAATTTTTGCGCTCAGTTATAAGCTAATTTGCAAGCTGATATAAGAATAGAAATTCTATAAATGTCAAACAATCCAGTACACTTGCTGACTACATATGTACTTACACACATGTCGATTATATATTTGCTGTATGAATTGTTCACGTGCTTTTGAAACTATATATGTATGTGAATGTGCAGTTTTATGGTAATGAGGGAAATATTCAGAGAATGTAATATTTTTTTCACTCATTCTGCGAAAAGTAAATTATTATTGAATATTGTAATTTTTCCGTGTTTATTAATTATAGTTGTACAAATTTGTGAAAATTTGAGAAATCTGACTGTGTTTACATGTTTTGAGAGCTGATATAGGTTTACAAAGCTGAGCGCAAAGTACTTGCAAAAATGCCGAATGGTTCGAATAGGATTTTTCTTCTGTTTAAAAATAAGTATTTATACCACAATGTTGAAAAATTTTCACTTTTTTGAACTCCTTCCTTTAGCAAAGAATTCTTATTTGAAAGCAGCAACAAAATTCCTCAGTTAAAATCAATGAAAGAGAGTTGGAAGCTACATACAAATAATATAACCGCCAACTCATTTTGATTATGCCAGTCTAATGCAATTATACCAGTTTATTCGACACGCCACTATTTCAAATTTGGCAAATCCAAAACAAGCATCCGCACAAAAAGTTAGTTTGAAAGTAAAAAAGTAAATATTTTTAAACGCCCTTCATATCGGTATAATATATATACTTACACTTCTTTTTTCAAGCAAGTAGTTACGTGTATACTTGAGAACATTAAAATATGCAAGTGCATTTCAACCACATTTTCTATTCGTTCTTAGTACATGTGATGTATGCATGCATCTGTATGTAACTGGTTCCCTCAGGTTGTGCAAGTACTTGTTTGTCTGGCTGCCTCTGGAATTTCGTTGTTAAACTTGTTTGCCGATCGAGTTTTTCAGTTTAATTGAAAGTGAAACTGGCATATGCACAAGTACATCCCTTTTGGCTGCGTAAATATCCACTCAAATGTAAATACACACAACCATACTTATGATAAAACAAATACTGAATTTTTGGCTCGAACGAATGGCAAATGGCAAAAGTACACTTGTTCACAAAACTAGTTTAGCAGCAGGACGCGTCGCGCACATTTATCATATATTTTAGTTTCAGTCACTAAAGAATATAATTGACATTTCTGTTTAACTAAATGTGGTTTAAAATAGTGGAATGTTATAAAATACGTATTTTACATTTATCATTTGCAGATGGGTTATTTATTAAAATGGCAGTGTGGCGAATCGAACATACAATATGCCTAAGGGGTTATATTCATTTTTGGATTTCACAAAAAAAAAAAATATTATACTTTTACATATGTAATATCTATTATATGCTGTAGGGACTACAAGAAAAATTGCACTTAAAGCCATTTTAGGCATAACAGCCGTGGACATTTCGGGTAGATAAATTGCTGCGAAGTATGTTCTAAGCCTCAGGGAATCTGGATATAAGAGAGATACGTACAAAAACACGCCGAAACTCTCTCCTGCCACAACTGCATTCCTGAAATCTTTGATCACTGCAACGCAGAGGTCACTGGTGGAAGCTTTTCCTCTCCTCACATACGGACGAAAGAAATAAGCATTGGGAAAAGTCGTTGAAGAAGAGGCGCAGGGAGCATTTTCATGTTTAAGTCGAAGCTAAAAGGAAAAGTTGAAACGGAGTTTTCTGTAAATCTTAGAATTAGGCCAATATATTTGAAAATATTTTCTGAAAATTCGGCAAATATATGTTTACAGAGTCGGTGAGGAAAATTTCTTCGAAACTATGAACCGATCGGCTCGAAATTTCTACACCTTCTGTACAAATTTGTCAAATCTAAATTTATTTAATTCAAAGAATAAGCATTGTATAATAATTTCGATATTTTAAGTCACTCTCAAGTGTAAAATTTGTCACAAAAATTAACTTTTTCAAAGCTGTCATTTTGTAAAAAAATCACAACATAGACTTGTTCTTCGATCATTACGATAATTAGTGCATTAATTTATTTCAGATTTCCAGTTTTGGATTTGAGATAATGTTAAACAAAAAATCTTCTTCACCGCAAAGCACTTTTTTTCGTAAGTCTTACGTGAGATAGACTACGGAAACAAGTGCATCAAAATTTATTAAAAATGAAACGGTAGATATTAAAATGGAAAAAATTCCGCAAATATAGATTTTTTGATATAATATTTATTAGATAAGATGGCTTTACAAAAACAAACACAGAAACACGCTTTTTTCTGACTTGCAAAAGGATATGACTTCCTAAGGGGTTACTTGGGTTTCACGGACACTAAAAAAATTATTTATTGTATTTATTTATTTAATTCTATAACATATCTAGAATATTGTCCTAATTTCAAGTTGATCCGAGTAATAATTTTGGAGATACAGCCTTGAGAAGTTTGTGTTTTCAAAATTGGTTGTAAAAATTTCTCGCGAACTACTAAACCGATCTTGATGAAACAGGTATAACATATAATATCTTTGTAAAATATTTACGTTCGGAATAATATAAATTTGGAATAAAATATTTCGTTTTTTATATGAGAACATATTATTGAAAACAACATAGGTCGCTTTTTGCTCGAGAAAACCAGGGATATAAAAAGAGAAAATCATTCGACAATGTACTAGAAAAACGGAAGATTTTCAATTGGACGCTATGTTGTACTACAGCAGTTGTAGAAAATAGATATTTATTTTTACGGAAAATATTCATGTCTAGAACTGTCAACAAGTTCTTTGAACAAAGCCGCTGAACGTATGAGAGATTATTTCAGAACTTAAACATTATCGGACTCCATTCGTTAGATAAATGAGTCACAATAATTTCAAACCATGGCGAGTTGAGTCGCTTGAGCCATGTCCCTCAGTCCGTACATATGCGAACAAGCCCCTCAGTTTTTGAGATAACGATCTGATATTGTGCTCATTTTCTTTTCTCTCCAAAAAGGTACTATTATGTTGAAAACAACGATATCGGTTCATTATAACATATAATAGTCAAGCAAACTAAATCATCAAAATCAAGTCCTTACAAAGAAAATTTTTTTATTTGACCAAATATATTCAAGAAATCGATTATGGTGCAAGACAGCGATATAATCTGTGAATATTTCATATAGATCGGACCACTATAACATATAGCTGCCATACAAACTGAACGATCAGCACTAAATTTGTGTAAGGAACTTTTTCAGCTGTTGAGGTATCTTCAAGAAAATTTACAGAGATTATTATCTCAAGCTCTTGTATGGAATATTTTTTACTTATGAGGATTTATTTATAATATTTTTTAGATGAGATATTTTCTTCTCGTTGGTAAAAAAAATAAATATCTAGTTCGTTGCTTAGGTCTTTTGTGATCTGCGATCGCTTTTAGAACAACAAATAACTTTAAATCAACTAATAATATACGTTTAGTTTTAACAACAACAACACAAAATATTTAAAATAGAAAAATAATGTAGAAAACATCAGTGAGACGTGGTTTGAATAATTATTAGCTCCGCTTTGCTTAAAATCACTGAAAACTAATAAAACAGTAAAAAATACAGCATAGACTTACCAAATGTAAAACAGTGTTGACGACCTCCCGATTGGTCACCTGACCAACCTCGATCAGTCCGATGAGTACGGCGAACTTCAAGTTGTCGGCGGTGGTCATCCTGACGATCTCGTCTGGCCGCTTAATATCACTAAACGGCGGACGTATTAAGTCCGCCATTTTGTAAGTTTTATTATTTATTTAGTTTTTAGAACAGTTTGATTTTGTTTACACGACACACACACGCACAATTTTTGTTTTAGTATTTTAAGCACATAAATAGGGATAATGCACAAATCCAAATATATCGAATATTTGAATTAAATGATTTCAAATTTTAATTTTTTCTATTTTCTTATTATTATTATTTTTTTTTTGTGACACACTAAATAATGAAATTGGAATTAGGTTACACTTTTCAATTTGATTTTATTTGGGGCACACATAATGCACAACATATGTTACATATTATTACGTAAATACATTTGAAATGCAAGGGTATTGATAGCTGGATGGATGGATGCAAGGACGTACAACAGAGCTTTGATTTTGATAGACACTTTAAACGAAAATTAGGTTTGAGGTGTTTTTTTCGTGTTTTCTTTTTGCCGAACTTTACACAAATTATGTAATATGTATGTATGTATGTAACACGCTTAAGCTGTCAGGGTTAGTTAATTACACGTTGATTGATTCGTTAAGTGATTTGAGAAAGAGAGAGAGCGTTTTAAGAACGCTTATTTTGGAATAATTTATTTGCACTAATAACACATTTAAATGTTGCGATTAAGTAATTGCGTTTATTATTATATAAAGTTTGTATTTAGTATTAATTATGCAGTTTGCTGTGCAAAGATATATCGATTTGTATATATTTTTACAATTTAAATATTTTTTTATATTTA